AAACTGAATTTATTATAGAATTCATTTATGTTAAAAAACGTTTTATGGACATAAAAACTATAATTCAAATTTGTATCCCACCTGCTCTAAAATTACGTAAATAAAAAATTTAAAAAGTCTGTTGTTTTTCATGTTATAAAGCCAAATTAAGAAAAAATTATTATAAATATTTCTTGTCTGATAACATGATATGTCAGAGGTACTCGGTGCTGTTTAATTATCATGAGTTTGACGTAAAAATCTATAAGAGTCTTTGCTAATTGAACAATAAGGCAGTCATAAAAATAATAATTTATTAAATCATTGTAGTCAGCTCGGTTATAGTTAAACTGAGAATGATTTTACAATTTAATAATAATAAATATTAAGCTTTGCAACACTTAAGGCTGTTTCTGCTAATCCTATTTAGAATCGTCCTAAAATAGTACCTACCCAGGTAGCACAATATGTTTCACTATATTGTACAATATTGTTCGATATTATATAATGTTATGTGATATTATACAATATTGCGGATATTGTTCAATATCGTACACTATTATGAAATATCTCTGTGCTACTGGGCTCAAGCACTGGGAAATAATGGGCACAGAGAAAGAAGAAAATGCCAATCTGAAATGATTAAAGCGTATAAGCAAAAGACACAAGAAACTGCCGATCTTTAACGATCTCATTTATAGTGAAACCTAATTTGCGCAAATCTCAGAATGAATCAATGCTGCAAGTGATTTGAAGTAATGAGAATGGACCTTATGCATGTGACGTCTCATCCTCCGACACGTGACCTGCCGGACGCAGCCATTGGTCAGTCTTAAACAGCTGACTCAGAACTGCTTTTATTTCTGAGTTGCTTATAGGCCGACCGTTTTGTTTATTCCTCCACAGCTGTTTTTCTATATTCTCGAACCCAAAGGGTGCATAAGGTCCATTCATCACATCTGATCTGGGATCAAAAAGTTTCTAATGCTGATATTTAAGGCAAAGTTACCTAACACTCGGATGATCTTTAAGAATTCCGCAATGAAGACCTCTTCCTTGAGCACGATCTGTGTTATTGAAAATTTCCTGATTGCTAAATTGGTGATGGCGAGTCTTCAGAAGAAATTATTTCTGGCACGCTTAATTCACAGTGCCATTAAAATGGTTAAAAAAATACATTTTATGTAGAATGTCATCACTAGTTTGAAGTATACCGACAGAAATGCTTAACGTTAGAAATATCCTTTATAATGCCATTTTTAAAAATTTAATCACAGCAGATTATTAAAAGAATACATTCCAGTTAGATATTTTTATAATAAATAGCCTCCTTCGTCCACCAGCTTGTTCGCCGGGAATATATTTTCAATTATATATTTTATGTATAATTTGATTTTCGTGATTCCCTTCAAAATGGAATTTTAAATTTCATTTGTGATAGACATTTAACCCATGACTTGCACTCCTGGCTCAGAGTTCGGGGGTACACAGTGGTCAAAAGTAGCCTTGCACCTGTTCACGAGCGTCCCTAATGGTGTCAAGTAACTGTTTGTGTCATGTAATATCCAAATGCACTCTATCAGCATCAATTTCACTCTCTGATTTTTCTTGAAAAATGTGCATTTGATTTTAACATTATTATTATTATAACAACATTTCAACATGACGTAGCACATTTTACTTCCATCAGCATGTTAGCTACATGAAAATATAAATATCAAAAAATAGCATTAAAATTAAGATATTACCTTAGCTTTCAACAATGGAAGAGAAACACGCAATTAAATATCTGTTTAAACAATGAAAACGGTTTGAATTGCGTTGCAAAAACGAAAAGTATTTTTGTGAATTATGCCAAAAATATTTTTAAAAAAATTTTAAAATTAGAGAAAACATTGTGCTATAATTTAATTGATATCATTGAAAAGGTATTTTTTTAAAATTTTTAGATGGTATAAAAATAATTTTTGTACTGTAATATGTTCAGATGTTATTGATGGAAAACGCAAAAAATTATTTTAATTTTTATTTAATTAAAATTTCATAAAAAGGGTCTGAGGGGAACATTCCACCCTTCAAGGTATGTTTGTGCCAAATTTCGTACTTCTAAGTCTAGCGGTCCGTCCTGTAGAGCGCCAACACACACACAGGCACGCAGGCATTCTTCTTTATTATTAGTAGAAATTTCAATACGAACCAGTGTATTACTCAACATCGATTTTCAATCAAATAGAAATCAAAAGAAGAGCCTCAAATTTATTTCCTGCTAATGTTACTTGTTTGATTATATTTGTTGACATCATTTCATATTCTTACCAAAATCTAGAAAAAAAATTGCTTTTGCTTTTGGATTTCGTATTAATATCTCTAATAAGAAATAGAAGTCAATGTTAATTCTATGCCTATTACTTGCTATTTGCTTGTGATTTGTACCTATCTTAGAAGATGTTTACCAACTATAAAAAATTTCATCCTTGATTTTATTTATTATTTTTCTTTCTTGTTTCTTAATGTTTGAATTTTCGAACAAAAATTTATTTCATGTTTAATGTTGTTTAATAATGCAATATTTATTTTTGCTGATAAATAAAATTCTATTATAATGTAAGGATAAACAAGACAATAAACTGAATCAATTTCTTATAAGTACTAACAGTTTGAATATTAATTATTTCTTAATTACATCAATAGACAGAAATGTGTTTTACTCAAACTAATAGTTCACACATTTTTTTAAAGTTTAAAATGATGGTTAATTGTTGTTTGCGTACACTGTCAACATGTTTCATCAGAAACCTTTTAATGAATGATTCTTCGAAGCACAGAAGTGATTTCTCGATGGTATTTTTAATTTTCCTGATCTCCATATATGAAAATAAACAAAAAGGCAAACATATATAATCAGACGATAAAAATGCGTATAAAACTTATTTTCAGAAACAGACATTATATCAAGCTGATTAAATTGAATTTTTCAAGTTATTTATACGAATTCTAATTATTTCACCCTCTGGATGATAAATAAAAGACATTTTTTTTAAAAACCCCATTTTACTAACATATTTGTGTTCTTACAGTATAATTAAATTTAGATTTATTGATAAACGCCTGGGAAAAGCCTGATTTCTGTAAATAAGTGGTTTTCAGAATAATTATTGTAATATCATTCTATACAGGGAAATTTATGTTACCTTCTGCAATCCTTAGAGACCGTCTACATTTGTACAAGGATGAGATAAACATTAATTTATTTAACAATATTTATTCATATAAATTACTGAAACATTAATAAAAAGAAAGATTTAGAAATGAGGCTGCATTGAATTAACCTATTCAAAATTTTAATTTATTTTGAAGAAGCTTGCACTGCTTTTTCTACTGGGTATAAATTTAGAAGGATCATAACTTCAGAATCTTAATTTCGAAGCAATTCAATAAAAAATTTTATTGAGTTGTAAAAGTTTTCGAAACTAATAAAATTTCTCAATCCATACGTAGATATCTACTCCCAGTACGCTTCGCATTTTATTCCAAGCAATCGATTTTTAAGTGCAAGACCTTTTCCTATTGTTAGTAGTGAAATGGAAGACATCTTAAGAGTGAAAAGAAATCTCAAAAGACGGTCTTAGGGTTTTCATTAGTGCAGTTAATGAAAGATGCGCTGCATTCAAAAAGAAAGGATCAAATTTAAATTAATTTTTTCTTTCTACAATCGTTATGGAAAAATGTTATTTTATCTCTTCAAATTAAAACTTCAGGCAAAAATTTAAAAAAAAGGTCAAATTTTATTTATATAATTGATACTTTATTTTGAAAATATATTCTTCACCTAACATGCTTCTCTCATATTCTGAAGTAGCATAAAATTATTACACGGATAAATCCTCGAAATTTCTGAATAGCAACCTTTGTAAAATAAGACAGAAAATAAAAGAAATTCAACTATTCCTCACCCTTAATTTTTCCTTTTTACAATGATTAATTAATAAAATATGGGACGTTAGGGGTAGTGCTTGAAATTTTGTGTGCTTTTAAAATAAATATTGAGTCATTCTATAAAAAATGCAATTTTTTATAGTTCATTTTTTATATAAAATACATTCTCTTTCGTTTTTCACAATCATTTCCCTTTTTTCTGGAAGAATTTCAAATCCCTCTTCCAAAATTCACTTATGTCTGGCAAAAAAATACTGCTCAAGTACTGTTTTTACGTCGTCTATCCTTTTCATATTTTTCCTACCAAATGATATAAAAGACTGCGGTATAAATGATAATCAGGTGGAGCAATTCCTGGCAAATATGGGAGGAGCATAGTTTTCAATTCAAACTCCTCCAGCCTTTGAAATGACATCCTCACTCTATGTGGCCGAACGTTGTCCTGATGGAAAAACACTTTTTGCCTTGAAACAAAAAATGCTTTTTTTTTTCATCAAACTCTGACTAAAGCCGTTTAAGATGCTCACAGTAGATCTTATCTTTTTTTCTCTCGGTTTGTATTTATAATCTCTAAGTCGATTATCCCCTTCATATCTCGCATAAGCGATAACAACTCCTTATGTGGGTGAAGATGCCCTATTTAGCTTGGGGTTGGGGTGTTTCCCCTTTCTTTACCAAACATTTAGCATTTGACATTGTTGTAGAGGACCAATTTCTCGTCAGCACTCGCTATTCAGTTCAAATAAAAGTTCATTCTTGTGATGGGGCAGCAGAGGAAAGCACACATTTACTCACTGAGCACGTTAGACTTGAAATGTTTCTGGAGAACACTTTGATCCAATTTCCAGATTTTTTGATTCGACGCAGATGCAGATGAATGACCAAATACAATCTTCTAGACTATTTCCTCAACAGTTACGATTGGATTTTGTTACACCAGGACTTTTTGAACGTCCTCGTTGAGCTCTATAGATCTTCCAGGTTCATCTTACAGGCTGAAGCTTTCGACTCGGAATTTATGGAACCACAATGGACGATGCCATTACAGTATTTAAACCGGTTCGTTGGGCATTGGGAAAGAAGCGGTGTTTACATGTGGTCACCCTCCCAAGTACTGGTCGCGCCCGATGCTGCTTAACTACGGTGATCAGACAAGAACCGGTGATTTCAGCATGGTATGGCGGTTGGCCAAACTACAATGGACAGTGGTCCTCATTTACTGTAACACTTTCTACTGCGTTGTAATATATATTGAACTCATAAAGCAAAATTTACCGAATACAATCCTTTGTCACTTTCGCTAAAAATTTGAAGAAATATCTGTTAAAATCGAACGGCTTTCTTTAAAATCCGATGTGAGAAAATGACCAAGGCAAATTTGTGTCCTACTTTTATAGCAAACTGATGCAGGTAGTTTTTCCCTCCTCCCTCAGACTTTTAATTCATAATATTGAAAAAAGCTACTTTATTTATAAAATAACTAAACATGTATAAATTTGTGACAAGGATGTAAACATTCACTTCCTCATTTATATATAAAATTTAAAAACGTTAAACAGTTATGAAGGAAACATTTTAATAAATAAAAAACGGTTTAGAGAAATTATAGAATAAAAGTAATCGAACTCAAGATAAATTCAATTTTCCATCTTGGAGTTGTTTTGGAAGTCAACTGAAATGTCTCAATGGCAGCTATGGAGACAAAATTAGTTTTTAATGCAAAATACTATCAGGAGGCGTGAAAGTGATATAGGCGATCATAATTAGGCTTACTGATTGGTTCCATAAATGAATACACCGTTCTTCAAACTAAATTATTATATTGTCATTAGGAAGTTACATTATTATACTCAGCTATATTTACAGCTATGTTCAATTGAAGTAGTTCTAGTTCGCCATATGATAAGGATGACACTCATTAGCATCGTCGTTCAAACGATCGTTTTATCTCGTCTTTTGGTCTTGCAGGAAAAAACCAACGTCGTTCATACTTCTCGTACCGCCTTCCATCTCGTCTTCTGTTCTCGGCAGCTTGATGCTTTGACGTCACTGGCGATGGCAGCGCCACCTTCAGGTACTCGGCTGGTGTTCCACAATAATGCCAGGCCCTGAGGGCCATTTGCACTTGCTAAATAAATGACGACTGTGTTAAAAATCATATTCCCTGGATGCCACTTACCTACGCTGCGCCACTGACCTTGTTGACCAAACGTTAATATGTTTGTGTCACTTTTTAAGGTCAAATACAGTAAGGAGTAAACAAATACCATGTCCAGAGCGCCGTTTACGCAAGTTAAGCCTCTTACGATGAAGTGTGGTAGGGGAGGAGAAAAGAATTCTTAGTATGACCCGAGTGCCACTTACCCCCGCTACACCACTGTAAGTATACAAAAACATTGAAGGTAAACCGATCCCGTTCCTACCTAAAGGAAAGAGTTAAAGGAGAAAAGTAAGTTATGGTGCTTCCGGTCAGGCACAGAAACACCAAAAAGATGAGAATGGGGGTCATAAAAAGCATGATATGAAGTATTTCTATTGTCTTCATAGCAATTATAGGGATGGGAAGATGGAATTCCAAGGGTTGTCAGACTCGTGCGAAGTGATTAGAAGTACGGAGAAAGAATAGTTTAGTTTAGCTGCTGACCGAGGGCTCAGAGGCACAGTAGAGGGCAAAATAAAGTCAATGAATTACAGTGAAAAACTGTTTAATGATGTTTGAAATGTCATAAGTACCTACGTTTGAAAATATTTCTATCCCGAGTAACGCCAGATATATAAGATAGTTTAGAAGCAAAATTTAAAAACGTTATTAAGATAACATCAATTTTTCATCTTAGAGTTGTTTTCGAAATCAACTGCAATGTCTCAATAGCAGCTAATTTTAACAATAAAATATATTTTCTGAGTAAGTGTTATCATATCTTTTAAATTTAAGTAGCATTCTATTCTACTTCACGAAGCAAGACCCAAAAAAGCTTTAAAATACTTTTCTATCGCTTTTTTTTTCATTATTTTTTTGAATGAAAGCATAAACAATTCTTAGTTTTATGAAATGTTTAAATCCGTTGTAATGAGTTAGTGCATATTTATTTTGAAAATTATATTAAGGTTAATGCAGTTAGCGAAGTCTAATATTCGCCAGTAAGATCAAATATCAATTTAACCTTTCTTTTCTACCTTGAAACGAAACTTAGATCCATAATAGGCACTCGTGTTGAGCAATAATTCTACCTGTAGACAAAAGTTTCAAAGAAACATCCCCTTAAAACTCTCAGTTCCTTCATTAATTTTAGTTTCGGGCACAAAGTTTCTTTATCGGAACTTCTTAGTTATTTTAAAGAAATTTTTCATAGTGGAACGAGCTTCACTATAATATGTAAACGATTCTTGTTACTGTCAGAAAGTTTAAAAATGATGGACCAATTATTTATAAATTCAATATTACTTGAGGCCTTCTAGAAATATTTGATATCCCAGTTTGTTGGGTAAACGTGCAAATGTTACCTCCGAGGGAGAATCTCTTTAAAAATTCTCTCTTGCAGCATTTCCTGTCCGTGATATCATATCAAAGTTCAGCATCTGATATTGGCAATTTAAATATTCAGGCTCATTCAGTGGAAATTCTTCCAAAAATATTGCTTTTCGATTATATTGATTTGTTAAATTAAATATTTATGATTTTAATCTATTTTAGAGAAATTTATTTTAAAACAAATTTCTCTACAACTTTGAAAGATTAAATTGTATTTCTTATACTTCAAGAACTTCAGGAAATTTAACACAACTTTTACTCAGCATTTTGCCTTTTATATTGGAATATGTTTATTTCATTTTTAGAGATGAACTTGCAAGTTTCTCTAGCACAAAACAGTGACATCACTTGAGTGATCACAAAGTGATTTGTTTGAAAGAGTCTGGAAGTGTTTTAAAAACCTGTCTTACAAGGTTTAAAGTTTTGTTCAATTCAGTGAGAATTCGGTATGTTTGAAATTTGATTTGTATAACCTTTCGTTAAAAATTAAGTTTCGTGAGCATATACTAAATACAATATATTATTTTAGATTGTCCAAAATTGCCACTAACTATCAATTCTTGGTAACTTTTATGAAATATATAGAGTAAAAAAGAAAAACTTTTTAGTTTTTGTTTTCAGAAGTGATTTTCCATGTCTTGAGGAATTTGAAAGGAATATACTGTGATGTATTTCAGCATAGCATAAATAATCGTGAGCCTTCTTTATCAAAAATAATATGTTTATTGGACGGCACAAAAATGTAAAATAAAACTCATACACTTTCATTACAAACGTTACACCACTACATGATACCGAATACCATGTTCAATCATAATTATTCTTCTCCGTTGCAAGGCAACGTTAGCAAAAGACAAGTATATCAATGCCACACTATTTTTATAAACTTTAGAAAAGCCAAACGATTTTTTAATTAATTTATTTTCTTTAAATACTTTAATTATTCTATATCTATATATATATAACATTTTATATATGATCTTACATAAACAAAGTAAATAAGACATATCATGAAGCCAATCCTATACTAAAAATTCAGAATTTAAACAATACAGCCAAATCTAAAACAAAATCTAAAGAATTGAAAATACTATAGATACCATGAACAAAAATTAAATTTAAACATTTATGTCAACATGTAAAAAACTCTGTTATTATTAAAAGTATTGAAAAAAGGCAATCCATACATATAGAGTTTTCAACAATTAATATAGCAGCTTGGCTGTGGACAATCTTAAGGTATCCGACTGGTTTAAAATCATTGTTTTTGATGAAATTATCAAAAACAATTATGACTTAATTTTGTAGCCTGTTTAATCAGCTTTATAAAACTGTCTCACTCTTTCCTCTACGTGAATTACAATTGGAGTTACAGCTGTTTTATTACCGAACTGTAAGCATTATTTTATGTTGCATGAAAACTTTAAATGAGTTTTTTGAGAAATGATAATTTTAAGGAAAACTGTCGACCGTAGCAATGATTTCTCAAACAGTTATTCAAGTATTGATATGAAATTTTCTGAGATTGTTTTCTGTAATATGCTTGATGTTTTCCTCCAAAAATTACGGTCAATTTTAAAATCAAGTAATATTTTTAAGTGTTAAGTAAAAACGAAAAGCATTTTTTATGAAAAATTACCAGTTTAGTAACTATGTTCAGCTATATCTCAAAACTATTTTGAAGTACAAGAAATAGTTTAGACCATAACACAGATAACTGTCAAAAAATGTACTCCTACAAGGATTTATGTATATTTAGAATATGATTTTGTCTACGGCTGTTAGCGTAAGACAAATATTTTAGTCATTTTTCTTCAAATTTCTCAGCTTTTTTTAAAAAAATATAATTTTGAAAGCCTAATTTTACAATATTTTCATAGTTTTAAAACATATACAGTTGAAAAATAACATTAAATATATATATAACTTATTTTTCAAAAAAATGTCTCCGAACACAGTCGGATACCTTAAGCCAGGTTAAATTAATTTTGCTGTACAAACCATCCCTGTTACTATAGTTGTTGGAAAAAGAGACAGGGTAATTTACCCTAAAATGAAAGAATTTAGGAAGAAAAATCATACACTAACCCTAACTAGAAAACATAACTATATGGAAAGCACTAAAAACCAAGATAAAAATATGTAAAACAACAATATATTGCACTATTATATTGCACTAAAAAAATAAATACATCTTTCAATAAAATACCCATATTTATTCATTAAGCTTTAAATAATCAGTGTCTCTACCTATCGTTACCGGGATTCAACACTTCCAAACGTTCTTCCAAGGAACAAAACCATCAGTGCTGTCATCAGTTTGACAAAATAAGCCATGCTTTCAGGCAGAAACGTTCAGAAATGAAGATTCGCGAAGTAAGTATATTTCATTACTATGACGATTTTGCACGAATAAATTTGTCCACTCGTCAAATATTTTTTCAGCAGGAAAGTCTGTGCTACATTATTCAACACATTGTTATGACATGTCAACCGCAAATTAAGATTTATTTCTTTTTTTATAAATTTACAAAACTAATTTTAGAATGCTAACGTACTGTCGGTAAAATCATTAAACACTTTTTGAAAAAATAAGCACAAATTAACTTACCGCAATCTTTTAAATATCTATGTAATAACTGGATATCTT